ATCACCAGGACAGTTTCCACCTGGCCTGTTAATTTATTCACTGGAAAGACTATACATTTACATAATGGTTTTGGTAGTTTCAAAAAGGGCAACTTTTGTGTGTGTGTGCGGCAGCAGCAATAGTAGAAAGTGCTTTTGACATTGTTCTCCTAGGGCATTAACAATAGTATACCTGAATTCTCACCTTAAATTGTTTTTAAGTCATAAAGTATTTCAAGCAGAGGAGAGGGCAAGCAACATTGACAATTGTGTTCCTTGCTTTACCAAATCTTGGCACCTCCTGTGGCTCCGTTGGGGTGGGCTGAAGATATGTGGCCACAGATCTGGGGAGCAGTGTGAAGCAGAACACAATGTGTCTGTCTGTTCTGCTTTGCCTCTCCTCTCTTATTCTCCCTCCTTCCTGCTGTGCTGGGGGTTGAGCCAGGGCCTCTGCACTGAGTTACATCCCTTGCCCTATAGATGATTGATTGATTGATTGATTGCTTCACTAAGTCACTAAGTTTCCCAGGCTGGGCTCACACCTGCAATCCTCCTGTGTCAACCTCCCAGGGAGCTAGGGTTACAGGTGTGCACCACCACACCCAACTGGCATCTTATTCCTGGGAGTTAAGTGCAGGTGGGCATGCCTGCTGGCTCACCTCTCTGGTGTGGGACCCCCCTGTAGCTCCCCATCCCAGATATGCACTTCTCTTGGTGATAAAGGACACAGCTTCCTCCTGGTGCCCGTAATCAACAGAGCTGAGGCAGGGAGAGGCTAGCATGGGTTCCAGTCGCTCCTTGCCCGTTGGCCCTTACTCTCTCTTACCTGACTTCCTGCTGTACAGCCACCACACTTCAGGATCAGATGAGGCTGTTTAACCAGCTCCCAAAAGTGGATAATATCTCTATTTTCTTCGTATATTACATGATGACATCATTGCATCATAACTGTAACTGACATCTAAGAATTGTATAATTACATATGCTACACACATTTTTCTGATAGTTCTGCTTCTCCATTTGAACCCTAATTAATATAACTTGCCTCCAGTTTTATTTTTGTTTTGGTATTAAAGACATGATCGCACTATGTTGCCCAGGCTGGCTATGAACTTGTGAGTTTAAGTGATTCTCCTACCTTAGCCTCCTATCTGAGATTAAAGTTCATACTGGCCTATTTAAAAAATAATAATAAAAGGGATCACTCTGTTTAAGATCCCTTCAATGTGTTTACCATAAGAGGTAGAGGCTGAGCACAATTTTCAGACAGCTGTTTGCCTCGTGATGAAGATCATTTCTGAATGACAGAGTTTCTGGATTCTGAGTTCTAAATCAATAGATTGAAGATTGGTCATTGGTTTATTCTTGCCAGCCAAGTGAGATGAAGTGGTCCTTTGTGTAGACGGTTGGAAAGTTATGTATTGTGCATAAATCTTTACCCAGCTTCTTCTTGGAGCTCAGTACAGACCTGAGTAGAGAACTTGAACTCACAGGGAGAGAATTCAAGATCACTCTGTGGCCAGCAGCCTGTCAGCACCATGGGCAGAGCCAGAAATCTGTCAGAGGAAAGCCAACTCTAAAGTGTACTTCGCTGCCACCTCCCTGCCTCTATGATCTGTCCTCATTCACTCATTCAACACACACTGTGCACTCTGAGGCAAGAACTGTATTACACAATGAGAAGAAGATGATGCTAATACAATACAGCCCTACCTTGGAGAAGCTTTGCATTTGAGACATGTAATATACAGTATACGGCATCATGTCCCAGAACCACCTCTCCTGGAACTGCTGCCACCTTCTAGTTGAAAATGTGCCCTTCCCACATCTTGTTCCCTTGAAACTTTGAGTTCACAAATTATTTGTGCAAAATAGAAGTCCTAAAACCAAACCTCATTTGAATTCCTATTGTGCTGGATATCAGGATCACAGTTCAGGATTATGTCAGGTGATCTGGCCTCTTCTCCCCACTTTTGCAGGAGGAGGTTCTGGCATGGCAGAGCGCAGAATGGGAAAGGAGTAGTAGTTCGCTAAACGTATGCACTGATCATGAAGTGAATCCCCCTCATTCCTCCCCAGTCTTGTGATCTTAAGTGGCCACAGACTCTAGGACTTCTTCCTTATCTAGACCAGAAGATAGATCTCTTAGCTCTGGATTTTTCTGAATTATTGCTGTACCCAAGAATAACATTTGGCTGTTTCCTGCACCAAGCAGCGGCTTACTGCCCACTCTCCTGGGACTATGGCTAGTCTACTTTTGTCCACTCACTGTTGACGTGGGGAAAACTCCACAAGACTTACCACTTTCCCCAGATCCACAAAGAATCAAGACACACCTCCTTCCTAAGATGAAGTCACTAAACCCCTGTAAGGGTCTATCATCACTACCACTCCCTTGCACTTGTGCACATCCTAGACCTGTGCTAGGACAGGAGGATGCATCCATGTTTACGCTTTCTTGGCTTTGGAAACCTTAAAAGTATTTTCTTATCTGGGTGTGGTGGTGCACACCTATAATCCCAGCACTCAGGAGGTTGAGGCAAGAGGATTGTTTTGAGTTCCAGACCAGCCTGGGCTTTGAAGTGAGCTCAGGGTCAGCCTGAACTGACACCCTATCTCAAAAAGACAAAAAAAAAAAAAAAAGGATTATCTTGTTTTTTGGGGGTGTTTTGTATCACCTCTTGTTTGTGATGATTATTGTCATTAATTGTATGGGTTAGGGCAAAGTGTACAAGGAAATAAAGAAGAAAGTGTCACCAGACAGCATGGGTCCATGCTTCAGTGATAACAGAAATTAAAATGGAAGCAATTAGTATGAATTTACAGGAAAAAGAACTTTAATTGAAAAGTAAGAATAGTAAGGAGCATTTGCTTGAGTTGCTGACAAGGATCAAGCTGGGCCTTAACAAAGAAAAGCAAAATAAAACAAAACAGACTTTAGCTTCAGGAACTAAAGGGTACATAGTTCTGAACAGCAGTATCATACTGGCCCATTAACAAAAGAGGGAGGACTAGTTTTATGAGGTGCTTAGGTCTGTTTGATCTTTGTCTTCTTCCTGGTTTTGTAGCTTAGGAGAAATTCCAGTGTCTTGAGGACTGGTTCATTTCCTTTGAGAACTATTCTGGCTTAGAAGGAGAAAACTTGGTTCCCAATCTGTCTGAAGTAACTACTGCCACTTTGGGGTTAGTTCTCATTGTTTGTGAGGGTCTGGGGTGAAAGACGGCAATTATATGTCCTTGCAAATTCTGCAAATTGTTTCCACTTGTCTCTGTGTCCTCCTTCTTGAAGGGGGATGAGATAGGCTAGAGAAAATTAAAATTCTCAAACCTTGTATTACAGGTACTTCTTAAGTGATTAACATGCCTGTATGCAGTTGAACAGGGATCTGGCCCCAGTTTTTAAGGCACAAAAGGAGGCAAAAAGAAAGGTTGAGATGCTGAGCTTCTTCCTACCTGTGGTTGCCCTTTGGGCATCTGCATCTATCCTCTAGGTTATTGTTATAAAGCCATAATTAATATTGTATTAACCTCACACATTTACAGTGCACTTTATCCTTTACAAAAGGGCTTCCATTTATATTATCTAACATAATATTTTCAATAATCCTGTAAGACAAGCATTAATCTCATTTCATGGAGAAGGAGGTTGTGATTTTAAAAGGTTAAGTGATTAACCAAATGGTAAACAACCAAGTCAGAATTCAATCAGAGGTTCTCTGACCCAAGCTCTGGCTCTTCTATTACTCATATGGAAACATTTGCTCTGAGACAGAAGAGTTCCTCACACTGTGTTCCCTGGAGTCCCAGAGTTCTGAGTCTGTATTTTAGCATTTCTGGGGGAGATGGAGATGGTGGGTAGTTCCCGGAAAAGGCTAGAGGAAGATCTGTACTCTTCAGCCTTAGACTATAGCACCTGGACCTTCATTCAACTTTGGTTGCTCTATGTCTACTTACTAGAAGTCCCACCAAAGACTTTTTAAGGAACAAAAGATGTGTAAAAGAAAATCTTCTGTAATCTTTGTTTGTTTTAGATTATTGCTTTAGTGCTAGAACATGTACTTCTAATGGCAGGATTTTATGCACTTAGAGTACACTAGTTGGTAAGGTCAAGAGCAAGGAGAGGTCGCAGTCATTTGTTGGATAATGATTACATGCTGGACATTTAATGAGCATTCACAATCCCATTTAATTCTTTAAAGTTCCATTTCCATTACATAGGAATTAACTACCAATCGTTTCACAAATAAGAGCAATGGGAAAGGCTATGTGACTTATCTAAGGTCTCATATTTATGGGGTAGAAGTGCTAGACTGCGTAACCAGATCTACCTCATGTCCAAATTTCAAAGCATTTCCTCCCTAAACCAGGTCTACAGGGTTGGATGAAGAAAGTGGTCGTTCTAAATGTCATCTGTTGCCACTAGACAATCTAAACCAAGACGTTCTTGAGGTTAGCCAACTGATCTGCTCTAAGAACTTGAGCTCCAAATATGGGACACAACAAGCCCTTCCAACTATGTCACAATCCACTCAACTCAAAGACTGAGGTAATCCCAGGGGCCTCAAGGTTTGTTACTGGGCACCATTGGGTGAAGGCCACGTCTGATTCTACCTCTGCTGAACACACAGCTGGAGAAAGCTGGTGGTTGATCTAGCTGCCACCTGCGGGGCTCATAGGGATTTTGTAGGGGGTGATAGTCCCCACGCCAGGCTGCATACACATCCACCATTAAATGGGTTCATTTGCAAGCCAGGCCTTCATTTGCACTTTCACATTCTGTTCTCCAAAAACAAACTGCCAGTTGCATTTTTCTTTAAACTCAAAGGCATAGCCTTTAGCTATGACAGAAATCCTGGAGCCAACAATAAATTTCACCTGCACCTGAACTTCACTGTACTGCATGAGAAACACCACAGCCCAGGTATCAAATAGGAATCTGGCCTACTCGGACGCCTCAAAAGGCGACGCCACTGGAGGATTCTCCTTCCGGGGCAGCCCCGACTACTTCCGGCTCACAGCGAGCGAGGCGGAAGTGCAGTCCGCTCACAGCTGCTGCTTCTGGGCGGGCCGAGGGAGGCTCCCAAGTAGGGGGCCGGGCCGGGATGGCGGCAGCAGCAGCCGGGGCCGGCACCGGGTCTTGGACATCACAAGAGAAACAGTTTCCACCGGCGCTGCTGAGCTTCTTTATCTACAACCCACGCTTTGGGCCACGCGAAGGAGAGGTACAGGGCGGGGGGTTGCGCTTGGGTGTAAGGTGGCAGGCGAGGAGGGCTTGGGGTGCCCGCAGGCGTGGGTCCCCCGGAGCCGTGGGGAGCGCCTGGGTCTTGGCCCCTACACTTGTGCTCACCTCGAGCGGCACCTATCGATCCGGCAGGGGGCCAGGTGTGCGCCGGCCCGGGGGGCGGGGTACGGCCGGGACCTGGTGACGCAGGCGGCGCGGCTCCGTTTCCGGATGCGTGCGGCTCTGCGCCGCCAAAGTGCGGCAGGTGACTCGCTCCGCGCAGGTTGAGTCTCCTTTCGCTTTGCGGCAATTCTGGAGAATTAGAATCGAACTCAGCGGGGCGTGGCGGCGCACCCCCTTAATCCCAGGACTCCAGGGATGGAAGGCAGGCTTGCAAATTCCAACCCCGTCTGGGCTATATAGTGAGGCCATGTCTCAAAATTAAGATTTTGTTGTTGTTGTTGTTAGTTTTAAAGTGTGCTAATGTATCTCAGTGCGAAAGCCCTGAACTCAGTCCCCAGTCCCGGGACTGAAAAATAAAAACTGTTTTTGGAATTTGTCTTTGTTATTGAAAGCCTCTGATTTAGAAGTACGGAACCAAAGTGCAAAACTGTGGCCCTAAAATAGTGTAAATTTGGAGGGTACTTAGGAAAGGTTCCCCCCACACACACACACAAGAAAAAAAAATGACTAATAATAATAAATTACAAGAATTTTATTTATTTTTTGAAGTGAGCATGGTGACTTCAAAGGATGTAAGAGCTGTTTGTCCAAATGCTCATGAAACAGCTAGATTTTTAAATTTAAATTTGTGTGTATATGGAACTGGTGTTGATGTTGAACCTAGGGTGTTTGCACAGTCCTACGTTCCCAGCCCTTTTTATTTTTAATTTTTTTTTTTTTTTTTTTGCGGAACCAGGGATTGAACTCACACCCTTGCGCTTGACAGGCAAGTGCTTATTCTACTGAGCCATCTTCCCGGCTCCTTATTTTTAATTTTTAACCGGAGCTTAAAGAATTGTCCAGAGTTCAAACTTCAATTCCTCCTGTTTCATTCTCCTCGAGTTCTGGGATTATGGACGTGTACAACCATGCCTGGTTGTCAGTTGGATTTAATTTTTCAGGGAGTTGTCTGTGGGTGCATGCTTATTTCTTAAGAAGTCCTGGCTTAGTACAAATTAACCCACGGAAATGAGAACTTCTCATTAAAATTATCTAGCACTACAGAGGAAATGGGAAATGTAGCTTAGTTATTGTCACAGTTGCCTTTCTAACTGGTGAGCAGTTTTTACCCAGTGATGAGAAGATAAAGCTTTTCTACAAAAGGGATTTTTGGAGTTTTGTTGTTAGCACATATGACTGGAGACTCGGTTAGTGTTAAACTTAGCACCTTTGATGGCTAGAGTGAAACAATGCTTATGTTAATGTTGTGTTCTGTTTCTTCAAACTTTAGGAGGAAAATAAAATTTTGTTTTATCATCCCAATGAAGTAGAAAAGAATGAAAAAATTAGGAATGTTGGCTTATGTGAAGCTATTGTACAGTTTACAAGGTAATGCCTTGAAATGTGCTTTTGTAAGAGCTCAGTGAAAATTCTTGTGATTTATGCTGGAGAAGTGTTTCAAAAGTATTATTTTACCTTTTTCAGGACCTTCAGTCCATCAAAACCTGCAAAATCTTTGCATACACAGAAGAATAGACAGTTCTTCAATGAACCAGAAGAAAATTTCTGGATGGTCATGGTATTTACATACACAGGATACTTCTGTAGTTGCATAGAAAAATATGGCTGGTATTTACTGTTAGAAATTTAGGAAATTCTCTTGGCTATTGTATTAAAGTCAGATTACAGTAGAATTGGTTGCTATTTTAAAATCAAACTCCTGTTTGGTATATTTGTACTTGGGTCTATTTTAAGAAGTTATATTTTCAAATTTTAAGGTTTTTTTTGTTTAAATGAGGCTGGAAATTGAATGCACATGGCTAGACAAGCGTCCTACCATTGAGTTACAGTTCTAGCCCAGAGTTTTTTTAATTAAGGCAAAATTAAACACATATGTAATCACTTCATTGTGTAATTTCAATTGATTCAACTTTATAGGTAGTTCGGAATCCTATAATTGAAAAGCAAAGTAAGGATGGAAAACCAATTGTTGAATACCAAGAGGAGGAGCTGTTGGTAATGTGTCATTATTTTATTACTGATTAGAAAAAAATGTATTACTGAATATGTTGAATGACTTAGATTTAAACTTGTTGCATGTTATAGATGTTTCTGGGATACTCAAGGGGAAACCTTTATATTTGTTTAAATTATAAATTAAAAGACTTTTAAAATTGTATTTATATCATGCTTTACTAGTACCTTCCACTGGTTTTCTTTGTGTGAACCGCTTCCTAAATTAAGCCTACTATATCTGGGGGTATAGCCCATCGATGTAAGCCTGGCAAGCACAAGGTCCTAACTTTGACCCCTGGTACCAAAAAAAGAAAAAGAAAAAAGAAAAACCCACCCCAAATTAAGCCTCCTGGTTTGTAAATGTAAATTTCAATACCTTTTCAGTTCACAACTGTTGCAGGGCCTCACTAGTTACAGTGCTTTCCCTGCAGTCAGTGTACCTTTTCTGTGCGTGGGAGATAATGCTTTCTCGTGATTTTCATATGTGTACTCCGTCCTTGTTGCCCACAGGACAAGGTCTACAGCTCAGTGCTGCAGCAGTGCTATAGCATGTACAAGGTAAGCATGAGATTTTTTCAGAATTCTGTCCAGTTCCCCATTTACAGGCCTGAAGTTATATTTTCCTAGGCTACAAAATTATAATTCCTAGACTTCAAAGTTCCTGTGTATCTGTTTTAGGGCAGCAAATAATGGGGCCTTTGACACAGGTGGTAAAGTTTGTGTGCATGATTTATTCCATAAATATTGAACCCCTTCTCTTCTCCTAGTCTTGTACTGGAACTATATACCTGTGTCTGAACAGATGAACCCTTAATGATGTTATTTATATGAAGTCAAACTTAGATATTAGAGTACCAGGAATGAAATTGACCTTTTTAAGCACTGTCTGAGTGCAGTGACACAGCCCTGTGTTCCTAGCTACTTGGGAGGATGAGGCAGGATTGCTTGAGCCTGGGAATTCAAGACCAGCCAGAGCAACGTAACAAGACTCCATCCTAAACAAATACGTTGAAAACAACTAGGTGATTTCATAAAAATGACAGCATTACTTAACAGTGTGATTATTTATGTAATTTCTTTTATGACTCAAGTTTTCTCATGTAAATATAGAAAACTATTTGAAAAGAAGGGTAGGTTGGTGACCTGAATTAATTCACTGAGTTGCTGCATTTGAGGGTCAGGTGTTACCCCAACAATACATAACAAGTGTTTGTAGCTCACATTGGCTGTGACTTCTGAAGGATTGAAAGGAAGAACTTGTTACTCTAAGAAATAGAAGGACATTAGAAATTTATTTCTTCCCTCACCCCATGTTTTACACTATTAGCTGTTTAATGGGACTTTTCTGAAAGCCATGGAAGATGGAGGTGTCAAGCTGCTGAAAGAAAGATTAGAAAAATTCTTCCATCGGGTAGGTAATTCAAATTTTATTCATAACTTCAATAGCATTCAAACAGAACTTTAGAGAAATATAAATGGAGGCAACTTTTTTTTTTTTTTTAACTCAGAACTTGAAGATGGCAGAAAATCTAAGAGGCACAGTAGTAAAACCCAAGCATTGCGGGCCCATGGGCCTGTGCTGGGCGGCTGTCTCGCAGCCGCTTGTGTAGGGGCAGGCAGGCCATCCCGCCCGTGCCTGGACCTATATCTCGGAGACATCTTCAGGCTTCATCCTTGTTCTGCCAGGGTCTGTCCATTCTGGCTTTCTCAAAAGCAGTTTTGTGCTGAGCATGGTAGTGCACACCTGTCATCCAGCTGCTTATGAGTCGGAGGCAGGAGAATCACAAGTTGAAGGCCAGCATGGGCAGCTGAGTGACATGCTGTTTCAAAAAAAAAAAAAAAAATTGAAAAAGTGCCAGGGGTGTAGCTCAGTGGTAGAACATGCTGGATACAGTCCCTCTGCTGCACACAGATGCATGCATCTCACCGTGTATTGAATTAGTAAATTGGCAGCATGAAAATAGTTATGACAGTTACGAATTATTATGGATTGGTGGTCTCTAAAAAAGCATAATCTATATTGATTCAAGGAAAAAGTTTTGATTGTGATACATCACTTTTTAAACAAAATTTTAGTCTAGTTTTGATATTTGTATATTTTTAAATAAGTGTAAAACTATAATATTTGTATTTTTATTTTTGTTTGAGACTGGGATTCACTGTGTCTTACAAGCAGTGCTGTAACTTAGAGCAAGTCCCAGAACTTACAGGAGTCTTTTTTTTTAAATTAAATTTATTTTTACATTATAGGTATACATAATAATTACATTCATAACGGAGAATTTAGACATGTGCACACAGTACATGTTGATTCTTTTCTCTCCCATTCCCCTACCTTCCCTTCAACCTCCTGTTCCCCTTCTTTATAAAAGCTTTAAGGCCTGGCCGAATAGCTCAGCGGACTAAAGTGCCTGCTTAGGCAGAGCTCAGCAGCTGGGGCTCAGTCCCCAGTGTGCCATGCTGGCCCCGCCCACGGGCGCGCTGAGATGGTGATTGAGATTGGGTGTGGTGGCGCACACCTGTAGTCCCAGCAGTTGGAAGGCTGAAAACAGAATCTCTACAAGTCTGATCTATGTAGTGAGAACCTGTAGACCTGCCCTAAATACAGAAAAAATAAAAATAAAAACTTTGTTTTCGTTTTTCTTTTCCCTTCTTTGCTCTCCCCCGCCTACTAGTTCCCCTTCCTATTTGAACATTTTCTTCCCGTTTCCAATATCTGTTGTACATTTTGGTCCTTATTTACACTTTTGGTTTCTAAGGCCACAGAAGCAATGTGATATTTACACGTGTATCTGATTTATTTCACCTGAGAGTATGTCCAGAAGGTGCATTTAGCTAGAAATCTCTCAAATTTATTCTTTTTTATGGCAGGATAGTTCTCTGTTGCATAAAAAAAAAAAAATCCTCACCTTTTCTTTATCCATTCATCAGTTGATGGGCATTTGGGCTCTTTCCAAAATTTAGCTATGACAGACTGCTGCTATAAAGGCATTCCAACAGTCCTTCTGCCTCAGCCTCCCAAGTGATAGGATTATAGGTATGCACCACCACTCCAGGCTTAAGTTTTTTTTTTTTTTTTTAGTAAATCTACTTTCTAGTAAATTGACCATTTCATTTCTAAAGTTCTGATATAGCCAGAGACCATAGGAAGACACCCCTTTTACTTACATTGGTGTTTTTTGTCTTAGATGAGAATATCCCTAAATAGTTGCTATTCTCTTTCATTGTAAATTGAATTTTTGGGATTTTTTGTCTTTTTTAAAAAAAAAATCATTTATTTACTTGTTTGGTACAGGGTCTCACTATGCAGCTCTGACTCATAGTGATCCTTCTATGTCAATCTCCCTAGCTCTGGGATTACAGATGTGCATCACCACACCGTTTCAGTGGCCACCTCAAATTGGGGATTGAACCCAGGTCTTTGGGCTTGCAGGCAGGTGCTTAGACTGCTGAGCTATCTCCCCAGCCCCTTTTTTGTCTTTGAGACAGGGTCCTACTATGCAGTTCAGTCTTCCTTGAGCTTACGTCATAGCCCAGACTGTTCTTAAACTCACAGTGATCCTCCTGCATCAGCCTTGCAAGTGCTGGGTTTGTAGACATGACCCATCACACCAGTTGTGTAAGTTGCATTTTGCATATGTGACCTTTACCTCTGCCAAACTCAGTTTATCTTAAAGGAGCAATAGCCTGGTTTCTCCCTAAAATGCCTCTCATCTATTTTGAAGTCGGCTTTTCTTTTTAAAATTGCCTTTGACTTCTTTTTGCTTTTAGGAATTAATGGTTTTGGTTCTTCATGTCAGTGTCTATACATGGTCATTCCTGTTTTTGTCCTCCTTACTCCTGTTGATGGGTATGACTGTCATCCTGACTAGTAAGCTTTAAATGGCACTGCCCATGGTGTTACTGTGGATCCCAGAGCTTAATCTGAGGAGCACTAATAGGAATATTTAGCTACCTCAAAGAGATAGAACTTCTACAGAGTGATACTAACTAGCTAGTTGCACCATTTGTTTTAAAATAGGTACTGATTTTAAGTCCCATTTACCATAGATCAACTACCTGTTGTTCATTGTGCTGTTTGTCAGTGTACAGATGTACCATAAATATTAGTTTAAAATAAGATGATTTTTTCATTATGGATGAGTACTACATTGAAAGTTTTACTTATATGTCTTATTTTTTCTCACAGTATTTGCAAACACTACATTTGCAGTCATGTGACCTACTTGACATTTTTGGTGGAATCAGCTTCTTTCCACTGGATAAAATGACTTATTTGAAAATCCAGTCCTTTATTAATAAAATGGAGGAAAGCTTGAATATAGTCAAATACACTGCATTTCTCTATAATGATCAACTCATCTGGTAGGTATGCCTTGAGGCTTGGCACGGGAGAATGAAGTCCAGGGGAAGTATTCTGAAGAGAATTAATGACAATGAGTCTTACTGGAATAATTTTTAAAATTGAAGATGTATTGTATATTTCAGTTATACATCATAAATGTACAAAGCAACCTTCCTAATGTGTGTGTGTATATTATTATTATTATTTTTCTTTGTACAAGGAATCTAGGACCTTGTGCTTTCTAGGCGAGTGTTTGTGCCACTGAGCTATATCCCCTGCCCTCTCTAATGTTTTTCTAAAAGAAGCTCAGTTTTTAAGAATATCCAGTGTAACCATTGTTAAAATAAGAAATTACCTACTGTTACCAAAGTATGTTTGTATATTATAGTGGAAAGAAAAGCATTTTTTTAAAAAAAATGTCAGTGTTGAAGAAAAAAGGTGAACTATTAGGAAACATGCTCATCTATCTTACCCCAAACTCTGGGGAGACTGTGTAGAGTGACCCAAAAGAGCTAGGTGGCAGCCCAACCTGTCTTGTGACCCAGACCCAGCTGAGATGAACTCCTGAGCCCCAGCAGGGAGTGGTTGGCCATGTCCCTCTAGCGGCTACTTTGGGATTATTTCAGTTTTTGTGTTTTTATTTACCATAATCTGCTTTCTTAAATTAGGGGTGTGGTTCTATTTTAATCCCCAGATCTTCAGTTCAGCTAATAGAAAAGGCAATACCAGTTGTCCTCAAACCTTCCCCAACCTCTGCCAAAATCCCACAGCTATTTTATGAAGAGAAACAAGGTAACCTAAAGATACTAAATCCATTTAGCAAAGAACATGCTGTGTTTTTTTGTGGACTTTTTGTCTCCTATGAGGACAACATAACAAATCCCAGATGAAAATCTGCTTTTTCATTTACCACATTGTTTATCAGGCTGTGCAGATTAGGAGGTAGAAGCCTAGTGCTGCTTCCCCAGCACAGGTGTGCAGAGGGAGGAGATACCCTGCAGGGGGCTTTGAGATAGAGCCCCTTAACTGCCTCCCAGGGATAAGGAACTGCAGAGACAGTGGCCCCTGGCTCATCCCCACAGTCAGCAGAGGGCAGCACAGATCCCCATCTGCTGGACAGCTTGCAGCCCTGCTGTGGGTGAATCAACTCGAAGTGACAGAGTGGGAAGGCCCAAAGCCAGCGGGTCCCCTCAAACTCAGCAACTCATGTTGGGAGACCTTTACCTCACAGTGGCCAACAGGAGCAGGCTCTGGGAGCCTGGGCTTCCACAGCTACCCGTTGCCCACCTCAGGGGGTCCTTAGCATCATCAGTGTGTGAGTGGCATCTGCTAGAAGTGAGCAGCGCACGGCTTCATGGTCCACCCACCCTGCCAACAGGGGAAGCTTGGTCCTGGGAAGTGGCGATAGCACGTTTTGTTATGCAATTGCTTGTTTGGGTGCTGGTATCTTAAATACCAGGAATTTTTTACTTCAGGAGCAAACCGTGAACGTTCCTTTCTTACTACCTTCTTAGTTTGTTTCTTTCTTTCCCCTTCCTCCCCCTGCCCCCTCCAGAACTGGATGCTAAGTTCATACTAAGTTACATTCTCAAGTTTTGTTTGTTTTTAAAGACAGGATCTTGCTGAGTCTCTTAAGTTACCCAAGCTGGGTTTGAACCTGCAGTCCTCCTGCCTCAGCCTCCCAGAGTGCTGTGATTATAGGTGTATGTCTCCATGCCCAGTGTATGTGTGTATATATATATATTTTAAATGCTTTGAACTTAGAATAGACACATCTTTCTGTGCTAGCACTTGACTCCAGCATGGCACATAGTAAGTGTTCATTAAATGTTAACAGTTCAAGTAATGGGTAGAAAATTATCTCAGAGTACTGTTTATGTATTAAACAAATGGGGGCTGGGGATATAGCTCAGCAACATAAGAACTTGCCTGGCAAGCAGAAGGCCCTGAGTTTGATCCCTGGTACCACAAAAAAAAAAAAATCATTATGATGTAGTAAACAAATGGATTTGGTTTCTATAGCAGCCATTTCCTGGGTTAGATATTTATTACTCAGGGCAGGGGTATGAATTGACTATCTCGTCCAGAGTATCCTATTTTTTTTCTTTTTAGTGTATTGGTTTATTTTTCAGGAATTAATGCTTTTGTGAATGACTCATGTTTATGAAGTTACTCAAAATTGAGCATACTCTGCTTGTGCTAAATTAATTTATATTCAATATGATACTAATCATCTGTACTTTATTTTACTTATTTTGAGACTGGGTCTTGCTATGTAGTTCAAGTTGTTTTCAAACTCACTATGTAGCTCAGGGTGGCCTCAAACTTGTGGCAATCCTTCTGCTTCAGCCTCCCTACAAGTACTGGGATTTGAGCATGTGACATCACGCTGGCTTCAGTGTGTATTTTAGACTAAACTGAGGCAGGGGATACAGCTCAGTGGTACAGTGCCTGGCAAAGATAAGGTCCCGAGTTCAATTCCTGTTGCAAAAAAAAAAAAAAAAAAAAAAAAAAAGACTAAACTGACTCTAATTGGAAAGATTCTGCATGGTGTGATAACCACTTGTATCGCTTCTTGGTATCGCTTCTGCCAAAGTAGTTCTCAAATAATTTGGTATCTCCACCAGAGATGGAGTTGGGATAACTAATGGAAGTCATTTAGTCGCTCGGTTGTAGAATACTTCCTAGCATTCATGAGGCTCTGGGTTTTCCAGAGCACTTGGAAAAAAACTAAAAAGTCCTCCTCCCATAAACCAGAAAGTCCATTTAGCATTGAGGTAAAAATACCTGAAAATTGGATAGAAAAGAAAAATCAGCCTTGACGGAGCAGCAATGCCTTGTGCACTTGGGTGTTTGCACTGAGCTCCATCTACAGCCTTTTATTATATATTTTGAAACAGGGTCTCACTAATTTGCCCACACTGGGCTCAAATTTGCCGTCTCTTGGTTTAGCTTTCCAGAGTGTGATGACAGCATGTGTCTCCACATCTGGTTGTTGTTTAATTTTTTAAACCTTTTATTTTGAGATCATGGATTCATGTGCAGTTGTTAAGGAATGTTCCCCTGTGGTAATATCTAACCTAAGTATAATGAGATGCTGTGTAGTGGATTTCTAACTGGTGGCCAACTTGTTATACCCAGCTGAATTAAACTAGTGTGGTGCTGGGTGCAGGAGGCCCACTTGAGGATTGTTGCCAGCAACATAAAAGGCAGAAGAGGAGAAGCTGCCAGAACGCTGTCAGGGATGCTGTTTGGAGAAGCTGTTGGAGCTGTTAGAAGCTGCTAGTTCTCTTGGGCTGTTTTGCTGGAGGACCTTGTCATTCTGGCTTTCCCAAATAGCTCTGTAGGAGCTCTGGTCCTCATTTTGAGCATCACTTCCTGGCTCTGGAGGGGCAGATGGTGCACTGCTCAGCCTCAAGGAGAAGCTTGTTAACATTGACTTTCCTGATGGGAACTCAGCTTCCTCATTGCTGGAGGAGTTTGGGACCTCACTGTTGCTGAGAATAGCTGTGGTGCTTTTGCGGGAGTTCTGGTACTTACTTTGAGCCTTGCTTCCTAGCTCCAGTTCAGATCCCTCAACCTGCCAGCGCAGAACCTTCATCCTTCTGGCATAGATTTTCTTGCTTCCACCACTGACCTTTGGGCCTTCACAGTGCAAATCTGTGAAGTGGCCCTGCGTGAAACTGTTGTGGGCTCTAGGCCTCCATCTGAACTTGAGGGAGGCATTGTCATGAGCTCTAGTTTTTATCTGGACTCATGCACGATATTAGGATCCAGACCTCAGCTGGAGTCTTTAGTATGTGGATAGATTTCTTGCACTTCTTGTATGATTCTTGGGTGAGTCCTTATAAAATATTATAAAATGTGCCCTGTATTGTGTCGTTCCCCTTGCAAAAACCCCAAACCACAACATATTCTTTGTTTATTTTTGTAGGGGCAGAGGCCTAGTGGTGGGCAGATACTAGAGAGAAAGTGACTGTAGCTGTGGCCAGAGCTAATGGAGGCCTAACAAGGAAGGACCACTCCTCTACGAGCACAGTGGAAACCCACCAACCTGGGCTTCTGCACTCTGAGCTGCAGCTTCACTCTATTGGATTGGTTTTTTTCTCCTAATTTCCTAAAATCAGTACCAAAGAGTTTAATGTCTAGCTAGTCTTAAGTGAAGTAGTTACAAGAAATCCCTAAGTATATACGGTGTATAGTTAGCCACTCATAAACTTTGCCTTCCATCTCATCCTATAGCTTGCTTTTCCTTTTTTTTTTTTTTTTAGTTTTTAGCAGTGGTGGTGTTGGTTTTGAACTCCAAGTCTTCATAGTAAGCCACATCCTCAACCCTTTTTATTTTGAGACAGGGTCGCACTAATTCACTACATTGGCCAGTCAGAGCTCACCATCTTTCTGCCTCAGCCCTTCAGAATTTTGGGATTACAGATATGCACCACGATTGTCTTTTTCTTTAACACCAAATGTCTACCCAAAAAAAGTTGGCAAATTTCCATGTTTGATTAGGAGGTTCGGTCTGTCTTGTTGACCATATGTGACTGCCAGCATTGGTGGTGTTAGGCAACAAGCATTAAGAGTTTTGATCTACCTCTTCTTTTACCTTGCAACCCAAAAGTGGTCTCTGGCAGAAAATGAACCTGCCTGTGATGGAGAGCGCCCCTAGTTGTAGCCAGTGCTCATGAACATCGGACCTTGAGAGCAGAGAGGCAGTATAAGAAGAGGAGGAATTAGGATGCCAGAGTAGGGATCCCCAGAAGAGGGCAGGCCAAGCCAGCGCGCTTTCTAACAAGTGACCTTACAGAGAAAAGAAGGAAGAACAATTCAAATACAGTGTAAAGGCCTGAATCACCTAAAGTGAGATTTTCTCCCAGAATGTTTTGATTATCTTGGATAGAAAAGCGCTATATGCAGTCTCCTTCTGTATCTCTTTTCCTAAAAAGAAATATTCCAGTCTATCTGATGCCTATTAGTTTCTCAGCACTTTTCCCACATGTTCCTTACTCTTGCTGCCTTTGAGGTTGGATGGTTGGTTTGCCTGAAAGCTTGTTTATTCCACCTTTTTGTCTCCATGGAGATCCAGAGAATAAAAACTCATGTATGTTCATGTTTCTGAGACTTGGGATCAGGGCCCTTGGCTGCTGGGGGCTGCACTGTGGCCACTAAGGCTACCTGAGTAATCCTACATGAAGTTTACTCCGAGAGTCCAGTCTGCGGAAACTTTTTATTTCAGAGGGTATATAAGAGGAAGGACTAGAGGAGTAGGCTTTAGCTGGTCTCAGCTCATTCTCTTTGTGCAATTCGCAGAGGATGAACTTCTTCATGAGACATAAAGGAAGAAAAGATTGACCTCTGTTGTAAAGATTGACCTCTGTTGTAGAGTAATGGCAAGATGAGCCCAGCTCCAAACTTGTAACATTTTTCTGTTGTTTCAGGAGTGGATTAGAACAAGACGACATGAGAATTTTATACAAATACCTCACCACCTCTCTGTTTCCCAGGCACATCGAACCTGAGGTATGATGGGGTTGCACGGATAACACTCACGCACATACTCGGCCAGGAATGAGGATGTGAGGAGTATTTCAGAGCTGTATTTCACATTAGTACTGTGATACCTAGTGATATTTTGTGAGTGGTGTCAGTTAGTAGCTTGGAAAACCATGCATGTTAGAAATCTACTCCAGTTTGATGCATCCAAATGCAGTAACAAAGGTTTATTTTAAGAGACAGGAAAAACAGGGTCTTGGGTTGGATTCGGGGAATGCTATGAATGCCAAGGGTCTCTGACAAACCATGGTTAATCCTGCAGTGTCTTATGAGTTAGAATTGTGTAAATTTTGAGTAGGTGGTTTATTGCCTATCTGGCTTTTCCACTCTGGTACTTAATTTCCCAGTTTTCTGCAGAATAATTAAAATAATACCAATATTCACCTCAAACTGTTATTTCATAGCTTTAATTGGGCTGGAAAGGGAAGAAGTCCATAGCCCATAAAAGCAGCATTTTTGCTTAGGTGTGTGCATGTACCTTCTCTGCTTGCAAACTGTTTCCCTCCTCTCCCTCTTGTTTTCCTCCCCACCTTTCTCCTGTCTGTATTGTTAAGATCATGATTTGAAGCAACAGGAAAACTCTTTGAGAACCCAAAGGGGTTTTGAAAGGGGCCTCAGCAGCTCCTAGCTGTTTTCCGGGCAGGTGAAAACAGTGGCTGGCAGTGTGGAGCATAGTGTCCACAGCACTGTTCTGGTGCCTAGCCTGCTGTGTGACCTCAGCCTGCAGTGTCAGGAGTTGTCTGTTCCCTCCTTCCTGCCTATGGGGCTGCTCCAGCTTAGGGGACACCAGAACCCTATCCAAGGTCAGCAGCACGGACATGGTAGAGCCAGGACTCGACCTCAGTTTCTGCTGAGTCCCCAAACATCTTCTTGTGAACATTCTCAGCATGGTTACTTTAGGTGCTCTTCAAACTGACAGTGCCACTGTCTCACTAGAGGACTCTGTAACAATTTAACGATACCTGAAGAGCAAGGTGTGTACAGTAGGAAGCTGCAGCATGCAGTATGGCAGTGTGAGCCTGCACGCCTGAGGTTTTCCCTCAAACAAGGACTTAAAGGGATGAGAGTTGAGCTTTGGGCTTTCGCCACTGGGTTTCTGGTGTGTTGGGGTCCTCTCAGGTTATGTGCTAAAACTTTATATAGATGAGAAGGGAATCAGACACCTTTAATAAAATAAGTTTCAGCTAAATGACTATTAGATTTGAGGGTTTTTTTCTTCTCATGCACATTAAAGTAGTGTATTTTTGGCAGTGTCAGCTAGGCATGTGGGATAGATACATGCCTTTGAGGGGATGTGGTGGCATGGTGAGAGGCGGAGACACTGGCACCAGACACACAGACCTTGCTTAGGAGCTCCCCACACTCCATTTTCCACATGTAGGGGGTGTGAGATGGCCCTACTGATGTGATCTCATGGGAAGTCTTGGCTGCTCTTACAGATGGAGCGGAGCAGTTTGTATTCAGGGTGGGATGCAGTTGTCCTTTGACCATTCTCATTAGAATCAGCTGGTTCTGGCATTCAGCGATCCACCCCCACTATATCAGTGAAGGGGGATGCAGGAAGTTGTTGGTACAGAATGGCATGGAGCCAGCCACGCTAGCAGATTTCTACTCCTAGCAGATAGGAAAACTGTCAACATTTTGAAAGTAAAAAGTCTAATCAGTCATTTTTTAACATTAAATATGTTTGCAGTTGGCGGGAAGGGATTCTCCAATAAGGGCAGAAATGCCAGGAAATCTTCAGCATTATGGGAGGTAGGACTTTTGTTCTTTGATTTTACAAGATTGAGTTTCATTCTCTTTTTCTGGTGAACCCATGAACATTGAATTACCTTGCGCTATTTTGTGGGAATAATCAATAGAGGCAGTCCTACCGTGTTCAATGAATTTCAGCAATTACTTTATCATGTTCTGGTTTAGTGTTTTCCAGATAGCTTCTGGGTTCAAAAAGGAAATTGATGTTTATTGAGTCAGAAAGTTCTGTTTATATATTCCTCTTTATAGTTTACCTCATTGAGTCTCTTTGCTTGCTTTTAAGATTTCTTACTGGACCCTTGAACCTTAATGATCCAGACGCAAAATGCAGATTCCCGAAAATTTTTGTAAATACAGATGACACTTACGAAGAGCTCCATTTAATTGTTTATAAGGTAACAACTGTTTTTCCTCCAGTGTTACAGATTAATACTAAAGTACATCTTTCTTGCATGTGTACGTGACTCTGATGCAAAGCTCTTAAGTGTTTCTTGGAAGTGTTGGGAGTTATTATGTGAAACTCAAAATGGGTGATTTTCTGGGATAGCAGCAGGAAATCTCCTTGAGAGGTCATTTGCAGCACTTTGAAACTGCTTTGCTATTAGCAGGGGAGTTAGTGGCTAAGGTGTTGGCCAGGCCACCCGCAGGCTGCGCTCGGGTCATGGCTGTTGGGCAGCTGGGTGCCTTCTGGCCGTGGCCACACTTTCGCAGATTCTGCCTTGCTTGATTTTAAAGCTGTGGACTTGCTACTTCTGTAAGGAGACAGCATCTTGCTTCTGTTGAGGTACTGTCCTGGGAGGGTGTGTGTTAGGTTGGGTTTCGTTTTCTTTTGCTGGAGGAGAGGGGCTCCCTGTTACCCAGGCTGGCCACAACCGCTGGATGCGCCTGCTCAGCCTCCTGGTGCTGGCCCACAGCTGCACCCGGCTAGTGATTCCTTTTTCTTTTTTCTAAGGCAAGGTTTAGTGCCAGAAGAAAGGCTGAACATAGGCGTTCATCCCTCCTGCCTGAATGTAACTCCAATTGTAATTCCTAAAGGCTTAGAAATGATGTCCACATAGAACCAAAAGGAGTTCACTAAAGAGTGAGGGAACCTGTAACTGTCTAGAAGACGGAAGGTGGCATGAGAACAAGGCCTAAGGGTTTGAAAACAGGCAGTATGCCGACATGTGTCCTTGAGCCCAGAGGTGCTCTTGGCCTGGAGCTGGTTTCCTCAGGGCCAAGCAGGAAGTGGGCATGAGAAGAGGTGCAGATGCACCCCACTGCAGTGGTGTAAGCCTGGGGCCCCAGAACCCTGGTAGGGTGAGGCAGGAGGGTCACAAGTTTGAGCCCAGCTTGGTACTGTCACAACTTAGCAAGACCCTGTCTCAAAATAACACATATGAAAGACTGGGGAGATAACTTCATGCACAAGCCCTCCCTTTTCATTGGGTCAAGCAGAAATTTCGTACCCATTAATCAGTGACTCTCAATTCCCCTCCCTGAAAATACAATTTTTTGACATTCTGAAATTCATTTAAAGGATAAAGTTGTTTGCCCCAGGATATTGGATAAAATGACATGAAAAGTATGGAAGGAAAGATGAGTAGGGAGGCTTGATTTCTGAAATGTCCCATCAGATGAGCAGGCAGTGGAGGGGAGGAAGCTAGGGAAGAAAAATATGCTTGGAAAATGCCTAACAGAAGATTGGACAGACCCTGTGAACGTCTCCTACTGTAAGCGGCCACCTCCACCCAACACTGGACAGTTTGAGAGACAGAAGAAACCCTAAAAGAAAAAATAATAATAAGTATTCAGAGAGAAAAATAAGTGACCAGAAAAAACAAAAGTCAGCTGAACTCAGTGGTCTCCCACCTGAGACTAAGTGACACACAAGAGTGGCTTCAGAGCCCTGTGTGAGAATGGTTCTCAGTGTGGAGACTTCTTTCCCAGGCAGGCCACACTGTCTTCTTGTGGGTGAGGCAGACAGATGTATTAAATATGAAAAGTCCAAAAGGTTGTGCTCATGCCTCCTCTTTGGCAGGAGTCAGCACTGAGAAACGGCGCACCTTGGAATCCAAACCTGTGGTTGACCTGAGCAATCAAAGGAAGTCACAAGATGACAGGTCCCTAAAGGCCACTGACACACTTAACACAGACATTCTGTGTCAGAGCAGCAGGTGGATGAGCTCCTGGTGCACGATACGAAGGTGTTTCATTCAGAAAAGCCTACATCTGAGAAATTCACTTACATGTGGGGTAGAAAAACACCAGTCAAGGGGGGCGTTCCAGGGAAAGCAGCACAACAGTGTGGTCTCAATGAGCCAAACTAAGCTGAGGCGTAATTTTGAGCAGTCACTGGACCAGGAAAAACATCCACTCGCTTTCGAGCTAAAATCCCTGAGTGCTCAGGACAGTAAGTTCGCAGTGATCCTGGCACAGTCTGTTGAATTTTCACTTTCAGGTGCAGTTTTAGGTGTGATGAAGGCACTATGGTCATGTTAAAGAGTGTGTATCTCCTTGTTTAGGAGCTTTTTTGAGTTAGGATTCCCATCCCATGTGCTTTGTCCATGTGAAGTAGTCAGGGGTCAACTCAGTGATTTCTGCTTACCAAGTTCAGGAGTCCCCAGAACCCTCTTCACTTTAGACACCAGCTGTTCCTTGAGGGGTTCCCAAGCCTGTCTTTAGGTTCAGTAGTTTAGAGGACTAGAAGATCAGAAGGGCCTTCATCCTCACAGTTCTGGTTAATTACAGTTGAAGAGTACAGATAAAATCAGCCCAGAGATAAGCACGTGTGGCAGGGCCTGAACGTCGCCAAGTGTGAGCACCAGCTGTTTCTGTGCTAGAATCCTGTGGACAGCATGGGCCTGCCTCTCCCCACAGTGCTGCACCGTGAGCATGTGGAGCGGTGTCTTACATCCCAAGTTTGTACCAAGATGGACTACGGAGACTCAGCCAACCCCGTGTCACTAACCTTCATCCCAACCCTGCAGAGGCTGAGCTGACGCTGTAGGAGCTGTGCCCTGAGGGATGTGGCCTGTAGTTTCCTTGTGATGCCATTTGTCTGCTATCTGAGTAGTGCAGGCCTCACTGAATGAGTGGGGAAGTAGTCCCTCCTTTCCTGGCTTTGGGAAGACTTTGTGAAGGATATTAATTCCTCTATAAATGTTTGAGAGAATTCACAGTAGAACCATTAAAACCTAGGCTTTCTTCATAAGAAACTTTAACATTGGTTAGCCAGGTATGGTAATGCATGCCTGTAATTCCAGCATCCTGGGACTCTGAGGCAGGCGGCTTTCTAGTTTGAGCCTATCCTAAGCAGTTTAGTGAGCCGCTGACTCAAGCTGTGCGTGTAGCTTAGTACAGAGGCTCTGGGTTCAATCCCCAGTACTACAAAATAATAAAATTATTAATTGGTCTGTTTGTTATAGGTCCATTCTGATTTTTTGTTCTTGAGGCAGTTCCCAATTGGTATATTTCATTGTTCCATTGAGTTAATTAATTTGTTGGATATGCAGTTTTTCATAGTATATACAGCCTTATACTCCTTTCATACCATGTCAAAGTGGTATTGATGTCTCTTCCTCCATTCCTGATTGTGGTAATGTGAGTCTTCTTTCTTCTGCTTTCCATCTGATTTATTTCTGCTCTGAGTGTTCTCATTCCCTTCCTTCTGTTTGCTTCTGGTTCAGTTTGCTCTTTTCCAGAATCTTAAAATGAAAGGTTAGATTATTAACATGAGGTCTTATTTTTACACAAGTTAAAATACGTTTGCTTACAGTCTTGGTTGTAGATTGCTGCTGCTTGATAACCTGTTTTCTAGGATAAAGTGAGATGAGATGGCATCAGTTGTTTCCTTTTAAAAGTTATATTTGGGGTTAGGGAAGTAGCTCAGCTGCGTAAGTGCCTGCCTGGCAAGCACAAGATCCTGAGTTTGATCCCCAGTACCAAAAAAAAGTTTTATTAGCGGAAATTGTCAGGCATACGCAGACTAGAATAAGTATCCCAAGGTACCACATGCTCACTCAGAGATGCTGCTCCTTCATCCACTGTCCCCGGGCGGGTTGTATGCTCTGTTCCTTGAGCACTTTAAATCAGGGTGTGGCCACACTCATGAGGCCCCACACCTGCCTCCCTGACCAGTGGACATTGTTGTGACATGACCACCATGCTGTTTTGAGTGACAAAATGACAAGGTCTGCAGTGCTTCTTTAACTCCCATCTACTGTCTACTCTGTGTCCGCATTACTTCAGTCATGGAAGAGGATCTTTTTGTACAGTTGGTATGTTCAAATCAAGACTTAAGCACATTGGGGCTGGGGAGATGGCTCACTGGAATAAGTGCTTCCCTGGCAAGTGTAAGGGTCTGAGTTCAATCCGGGTTCTACAAAAAAAAAAGAAAAAGAAAAGAGGAAGACTTAAGCACATTGACTACATTTGATTATTATAGTTAAGCCTCATTTCTGTGCCATTTTCTAACTGCTGGTTTGTTTCCTCCCAGGCAATGAGTGCAGCCGTATGCTTTATGGTTGATGGTAGGTGCATGTCTTGAGTCTCATTACAGCCTGAGCAGATCAGCCTTTTGCAATTTGTTATCTCTTTTTCTTAAAGCATGTAGTCGCAAGCAAGAGGGGCTGTGTCAGTGGCTATTCCCCAGCTCAGTCTTCTGCCTCCTAACTGGTCATTGCTGAGGTTTTGACAGCCTGGCCATCCCCTTGGCTGCGGTAGGAGCCAGGCTTCTCTCTGTACCTCCCTGATTGTGTATTGGGGTTGCAGAGGGACTTGGGGGATTAAACAAGGTGTTACCTGTAAAGCATCAAGTGGCACCTGAACCCTGAGTGCTGTCTCATGGATTTTTTAAAACATATGACCTTCTTAGGTCTGCCTGGGTGTGCAGCCATTTCGCCACCCCTCAGGGTGTGTACAGAGCAACCTTTCAAGACAAGACAGTGCAACTTTTTTACTTAAATATGATTAATTGTAACATCTCTGTTTCATTCTTGTCATGGAATTGATAAGTGAAGTTTTCATTTAGTTACTGTTAAGTACTGGGGCAAATGGACATGGACCTGTTTGACAGAGAGCTACAACAGGTCTCTTTCTGCACTCCCTCCCCAGCCTCCATTCAGCTGACGCTGGAATTTTGCCGAAGACTGGACAGCATTGTTGGGCCCCAGCTCACAGTGCTAGCATCCGACATCTGTGAACAGTTTAACATCAACAAAAGGATATCTGGGTTCGTACTTCATTTCACATTTACTTTTAGGCACTTAACTGTTGACGATAAGAATGGCTTTTACTTAAGAAATTGGCAGCATGAACATTTCTGTGTTTGCTCAGATGCTAAAGAGCAGTGGTGGCTCTTGAGTCCTATCCCAGGGGCCCCCTGGGGAGCTGCGCCCAAGCCTCTCTGCCCTGCCTTGGGGCTGGGGCCAGGCCTTCACTTGGTGCTTTCCTCAGCTTTCCCCCAGGCAGTGGTGGCATGAATGGTTGGGGTCAGGAATGCCATCTGCCTGTGGTGTGCCTTTGTGATGACCAAACCCACCACAGTTCAACAGACAGGTTGGTGTGGTTAGCACGTGTTACCCTGTGGGGACAGAGAGCACTTTGCCTCGTGCCGAAGTGTTGCAGGGGAGGTGGCCAAGCTGGTGTCAGGTGTGGCTGCAACAGGAGACCAGGGCTTAATTCATCTTCTGTAAGAACCCTGACAAGTCACTGAGCCTCTTTCTGTTTCTCTTTTCTCAGTGTAAAATAGAACTATTGTAAACACAAGGTGACCAGAGGAAAAGCGTGTTGAGAGATGTGAGACCTGTGCATTGGCAACTTCCACCTGTACAGGCAGTCATTCAAATGCTGTGGATTTGTATAGAGCAGTGTTTTCAGTCTTCCTATGTTAGGTGTCTGCATCTTTCATAAGCAGCCTTTCTCAAAACGAGTTCAAGAGAAAGCACTTTTAGATTTGGTACAATATGTGGGTGTTGCTGTTGATTGTTGGCAGCTTACTTGGCTTTGGAAAAAGATATGGCGAGAAGACAAGAGTACCTGACTAACTCACCTCTGGACAGTACTGCTTAATTGTTTGATTTTGACCATGAACCTGCCAGGTTTTCCTTTTTAAAGGAGTCACAAGTGAGTTAAATCTGATTTGGATCATAATTTGTAGGATTATTTTGTAGTCACCCAGAGAGTCAAGTACAAAAGAGTGCAGGAAATCCTTCCACACACTAAAGACCCAAAGAATCCAACTGAGGACCAAGAGCCCATGACAGTGCCCCCCACGAGTCCAGCCTGAGACCTAGAGCCCACGACAGTGTCTCATGTAAGTCTTTCACGGATTTGCACTGCAAAGGCCCAAAGGTCAGTGGTGGATGCTAGGAAGTCTATGCCAGAGGAATGAAAGTTCTTTGCCAGCAGGCTGAGGGAGCTGCACTGTAACCAGGAAGCAACACTCAAGGTAAGGATCAGAGTGCCCTGAAAAGTACCACAGCCATCCTCAGTGACAGTGAGGGCCTGAGTTCTTCTGATGATAACAGCCAAGTTCATATCAGGAAAACCAGCATGACAGGCTCCTCCAGGAGAACCACAAGCCCCACTTCTTCCTTTCTATTTTTTTTTAATGCTGCTGTCAATAGTCCTCAGGTTGCCCCCACACACCCAGCACCACTCTGATTCCATTCAGCTGAATGTTACAAGTTGACCATTACTTCTCAGTCCACCACAGCATGTTATGAATGAATCAAGGGAGTGGTATAGTGTTTTTACTGCCATCCCCAAAACCCTGGGGAAGTCACTGGACATGGTCACTGTTCTGCCTGTGCTTTCTGTAGATATCCCAAGTCGTTTATCTAGGGGTAAAACTTGCCTTCAAAGGCCTTCTACTTTGCAAGTAAGGTTTAACTTTCCACTTGAAGAGAGGGCCTTGGGTATTAATTATCCTGTCTTAAGCAGCTGTCTCTCTGACATTTTATTAGGAAAATTATACCGGACACACATCAACTCCCAGTTAGATTCTATAGTTAACATGTTCCTGCATATTTTATTGTGTATCTCTCTATCATAGAGGACAAAGTTTATTGACTGTTCAGAGAGCCTCTGGATAGTGTCACTAGTGTGTTGAAAGATAAGGTACATGGAAAACTGGACAGTAGATTAAACATGGTACAATTAAGGGGCATGCCTGCATAAGCAGGAATTTTAGAAATGTTATTGAAAATTGACATTAAGATAGTTCTTGATGCAGCCACAATTTTATACATAATGAGCCATTGGTCACCAGACAATATAATTGGCTGAAAATAAAAGCTTTTGGATACAAAAGATGTGTTTTTCTTCTAGAGATTCTTCAGACCAACTTGTGCCCCAGTCCTGGGACCTTCCTCTTAGGCTAATGAGGGCAAGACAGCTCTGAGGGGGTAAGGCAGATCCTGTAGGGCTCCCCTGGGCAGTGTTGGAAGTGAGGGGTGGAAGCAGGATGCCTTCTTGGCCCCAGAACACTCCCACAGCCTTAGTACCCTCCTGCTTTCTCCACTACAGCCTTCTCCAGCAAATCCCATAGAGCTGTGGTTAGGACATAGTATGCAGTGCTGAATGTGGTCTTTGAGTGCTCCCCTGAAAGTCAAGGTGTCCACCCTTCTAAGAACAATAGGAAGTAGGTTAATTTGGTATTGATGTCTTTTGTGTGGCATTTGGTTTTCTTCTCAAGGACATGGATGGATGGATGCCTGCATTGGAGTACTGGCAGTTAAGCCCAGTGATTCTTGTTTTGTTTAAGGATAATTTATGCATTTGTTTTTAAACAAAATTTCAAAGTATAGTAATACTTGAGTTTGTTTAACTTGTGAACTAAAACTTATAGACAGTTGTAAAACCTAAATCCTCTTATGCAACTCATTGTTCAGTATGAGGTTTTTTTGTGTATTTTTTCATGTTGTAGAAAAATAGACTTACTAGTAGTGAGTCCACACATGCATTGTCCAGTTTTCAGTATGAGTTTTGATACATACAAGAAGGAATATTGCTGCAGGTGCGGTGATGTGTAGCTGTGCACCGTGTGCTCTGACACAAGAGAAAAGTTTGAGCCCAGCTTGGACTACATAGACTGTCTCAGAAAACAAAACAAAAACAAAATATTATACCTAATACATATTACAGTGATGGTGTTGATAACCATTAAAGTTGGTTCTGAGACGAAAGAGTTATTACATAGCACAGGACAAGAGCAAGATCTCAGCTCTATAGATTCAGTATTCCAATTTTCATGTTGTAACACACAAAGATAGTTTCACCACCACCCCCCATTTCTTTTTCTTTTTTTCTTTTATGTATTTAGTCCAGGGTCTCACTACGTAGATCGGACTCATAGTGATCCTCCTGTTTGCAGCCTCCCAAGAGCTGGGGTTACAGGTGTGCACCACCACGCCCAGTCTCAGTTGGCGGCTCAGCGTGCTCTAGGGGCGAGGCCAGCACAGCTTGTGGTGCAGGGGATCAAACTCTGGTACCTACACTCTCCCCCATTTCTTAAAGTCTTGTTTGAACATGAAGTCTGGAGGTGAAGATATGTCTATGTTTGGATCATGTTTGTTTAAATTAGTATGTAATGTCAGATTAAAATTACCATAGGTTTTAATAAAAGATTGTAGCTTTCTTTTAAAAAATAAAAAGACCAGTATTGAAAAATCTAATTATTTTCAACTTTTTAAACTTAAATACATTTAAACATGCTAACATAGACATGTTTTTAATAAATATGACATAAATCTAGCACTTTAGAAAATAAAACATGAACATTTAAAATCAGTAAATGTGGAAGCTCCTTCTGTCTCCATTAGCATTATGGTGTACACCCTGAAACATGGCACACGCTGTAGTTTGTTTAATCGTGTTCCCGTTTGGTGGGCAGCCTGAAGTAGGCTGCTCTTAGTGCTATGAGCAGTTCTTTAGTGGACAGATCTGCTGCCCTGCCTTAGCTTTTGAGGATAAATCTCTAGACCTGACTTCAGGGGCAAAGGAAGAGCATGTAAGATGTGAATGCATGTTGCCAGGTCGCCACAAGGGTGCTGTTCTGCCACCCACCATGGCCACCAGCACCCATTCCCTGTGTCCTCTGCTTTCCCCAGTTTGATGGGTGACACTGAGGCCAAGTGACCCTTCATGGTTCATTGGCTTTCTTCTTTCACAAATTGTCCCTCTGTGTCCTTTGGCTCTTTCTACTGAAGTGTTAAGAATTGAACAAAACAAGGTAGCAAGGTCCTTCTGCATTTATTAAAGGTAAGGAAAGAAACATACTCTGCAGAGTAAGTTTGAGCCAACTAAAAGTAAGAAAAGTACAGTCTACAGGGTGAGAGTAGATTACTGTGAAAGAAAAAGCACAGTGGCCCAGAGTGCAGTGGTGGCTGTCTTGTACCTCCCACTTCTCAGGCTGATGTGTGGTGTAGGTTGACCTATCCAAAATCTGCTTGAGTTCTCGCAAGAGGAATGGAAGATAGCACTCTGACTGGTCTCAAGTGCAGTGGTTTGGAAAATGTTTTTGCACCTGGAACTCTGTGAGTGACAGGTCACAGCCACTCCCCAAGTCAGTTTGCCATGCCCTAATCTCCGATCTGACTCCCAGGGGTACAGTGCTTGGCCTCCTAGACTGCTTTCTGACATCCAGGTGAAAACCTCCCTGACTTCATAACTCCCCATTCTACTGGTAACAGTTTGCTACCAGCTGCAATGTACCAGTTGCCAAGTCCTTCTGCATGAAGGCTGTGCAGGCCTTAGTGTGCCTGGGTGGCTGAGCATGGTGAATTGAATCTTAGGGAATCAGTTCCCTAGGTAGCCCATTTTTCAGAGAGTGTCCTAGGGCTCTTCTCAAAGTACTTCACTTTGCAGTTTTAAGCCTTGGAAGGGTGGAGCCTTACTGGAACTCACATTTTGTCAAGGCATTTTTCCTATTGTCCTAGTGTAGGGTACTTGACTTTTCTAAATGATAATCTTTTAGCAGCCAAGTTCTCTGCTCTGTCTTTGTAGGCCCCACCTTTACCCAGACCTTCCTTTCTGGTCAAACTCAAAACTTAAAATCATTCCTGTTTAGAATTTCCTACACTGATGTAGTTAACTATGTATAGTATGTTCCTTAAGAAGGCAAGACATGTATATGACTTTGCTTTTTAAAATGTTTTGCTGTTTAAACTCTTTAGAAAAGACACCAGATAAATGCACTATTGCTCTTTCAAAATCAGTGGGCTAGATCCTAATTCTTATCTCTAGTAAGACCAAAGGTTGAGAAATTATATTCTTGAGTTTTGTATGTGAGCAGATGTCTTCCTGTTCCATTAATAGTACTTTGTAAACAGCCACCTGTTTTTTCCAGACCTGTTTTTATGCTATACTTCATAGAAAGGCGATTAGAAAGAGTCCACATTTCTTTACCCATCTTAACCATTTGAAGAACTTTTTTTGAGATAGGGTCTTGCTATGTAGTTCAGGCTGGTTCTGAACTCACTGTATAGACCAGGCTAGCCTTCAACGGGTGTTGATCCTCCTGCCTCATCTTGCCAAGTGAGGGATTACATGCATGTGCCAGCAGGCCTGGCCCTAAATAATATTTCTAATGTAAATTCCAATTTAGGGGTACAAAAGAAATGAACACGTATTTCATGTATTACAAATGGGTAAGAGGAAAGTCATAGAGCGTGTTTTGGGTTAAACAGAGCAGCCAGAAGCAGTTTAAGTTATGCATCTATCCAGCTAACTAGATGGTAGCTCTTTCCACGTCTTAAAGTTTTCATCTTTCTAATCAGTTTTTCTTATACATACTTTTCTTAGTGTCAGGGGCCTGCCAAAAACAAGCTCTGGTTATATAAGATATTATTTCCATTGTCCTAGAAACTAAATCAGCCACGTTCTCTCCTTGCCCAGAGATGAAGTATCACAGCAGTGACCCGCTTGTTCACTGTCGGGTTTCTGCACCCTCTGCTCTCCAGAGCCCCCTTGTGTCCCTGACAGAAGCAGTGAATGGAGGGATAGGCACCCTTTGAGCTGTGTGGCCCAACTGTTTCCAAGTTTCCCTCAGAAGCTCAAAGGCTCCAATCTGGGATGAACTGTAATAGCATCAGCCAATCGGTGTAAGAAAGAAAAGGGAAGCTAGATGTAGCGGCACTCTGAGCTGAGGCAGGAGGATGACAAGTTCAAGCCCAGCCTGGGCAACTTGATGAGGTCCTGTGTCAGCATAACACAATTAAAGACCTTGGAGTGTAACTCAGTGTGAAGGACCTGGGTCCAATCCTGAGTACCACTAGAGATGGGGTGGAGTAGAAATAGAGGGGAAGGGGAAGAGGAAATTCCAATTAAGATGTTATTTTACTTTACCAAAAAAGTACATTTCAGCATGATTTCCACTGAGAATGATGAGAAAGTTTGTATGTTAATTGGTTTGTTTGTTTGTTGGGGGGGATAGCGTTGGTTTTTTATTTGTTTTTGAGATAGGTGCTATGCAGTTTAAACTGACCTTTAACTCACTATATAGCCCAGGCTGGCCTCGAACTAGTGGCAATCCTCCTACCTCAGCCTCCCAAGTACTGGGATTATAGGTATGTGCCACCACACTAGGCTCATGGTCTGACAGTGTAGCCCATGCTTTCCTCCAACTCTAGATCTTCCTGCCTCAGCCTTCTGAATGCTGGGATTACAGACATGCATCCTACACCCTGCTTAATGGCAAGTTTTGTCTTGTTGCTGTAAATTTGAGCTCATTATATATAAGGAACACTTCGTTCATTCCCTAGCACTGTTCAGTGATGTCACTGTCCTAAGTTGGGTCATCAGACTTTCTGTAAAGACCAAATAGTAAGTGTTTTAAACTTTGTAGGCTATATGTGTTGCAGCTACACAACTCTCATTTTACCTTGAAAGTAGCATAGATAGCATGGGCTGTATGGGGACAGCAGTGCTCCAGTGAAAGTTTATTTAGGAATGGCCAGATCTGGCCACAGGGCCATGACTTGCTGACTTTTTCCCTAGATGAGAAATTACATGCCACCGAGCTATGTCCCTAGCCCTCATTTGCATTTTAAAAATAGTATTATTTAGAAAATCTTCACATAGTAGTTAAAATATTTTTGGTGTTTAAAAAAATAGCTCTCTGGAGAATTGTCATGTTGGATATTGCACGAGTCACTAGTGAATGGAAAGCCTGTTTCATGTTAACAAGCAGATTCTTGATGTGGGGGCCCCATCATTGACGGGACAAGGCCGGAGCCATCCGGTTGTCAAGGCACACTGGCTGTGTATGTGGCTGAATATTCCTTCCCACTGTCACGGTCTCCACTGCATGTGTTCACAGGTCTGAGAAGGAGCCCCAGTTTAAGTTTATCTACTTCAACCACATGAACTTGGCAGAGAAGAGTACAATTCACATGAAGAAAACACCCAGCGTGTCACTGACGTCTGTTCACCCGGATCTAATGAAGATTCTAGGTGACATCAACAGTGATTTTACCAGGTAGCGCTGACTGCTCAAATTAGCTGTTCCCTTTCTAAGAAGAGCTATTAAAGTCATTGTCGTCAGAGCTCAGTGACCCTCAGCCCCTTCGAGAGGCTCAAGCCTGGCTGCCTCCCAGCGTGCCACTCCCAGGCACAGCCCAAACCTGAAAGACCGTGTGCTCCCAAAGGCACCCTGAGCTTTGCAGTGGCCGCCCCGTCCTGTCCCTTGACTTGCAGTGCCGGGGTTTCCCTCTGTCTGGCTGCGTGTGGTAACCGTGCCTTCTGAAACTTGTCCTACAGAGCAGATGAAGATGAAGAAATCATCGTGAAAGCCATGAGTGATTATTGGGTGGTCGGGAAAAAGTCGGATCAGCGGGAGCTGTATGTTATTTTGAATCAAAAAAACGCAAATCTGATTGAAGTCAACGGTAAGCAGGATTTAGTATTTGAGCAGAATTTTAGTGCTGTTTTGTTTTGAGCTCTTTAGTATATCGGGAAGCAGGACAAAGAGATCAAATGACTTGAACTGAGTGCCCCCATTGTACATTTTTCTGTCCCCTGTACAAGAAAATTGATGATGGTGAAAAGAAAATTACTTTCTATAATGCCAAGAAAAAACCTTTTTTGTATTGTGCGTGGGAAACCCCTCTTTTCTGCGCAGAGCGGCTGGATTCGTGGGGCCGCTCAGCTGTGCGCATGTGCCCTAGCGGTTGCGGTGCTCAGGTTTTGGCGCCTTCGGCCAGAGTGGCTGTGCTGGTCTGCGCAGTGTGGCTGGCAGCTGCTCTCGGGGTGCCAAGGCTCACTGCCCTGGGAGGAGGGTGGTGGTTGGCCGCTTGGCTAGCAGCCCAAAGATCGGGGAGACGTGAGATGTGAAGGTTTTTTCTCATTATGTTCTAGGGCTTAGTAAATGTTTCTTTTTGTATTAATAGTTGTATTGGTATTTGCGTACATTAAGAACATCAGTAGTGTATGCCTAATTTAAAATGAGAATTTAAGCATTTGGTGCCTCATGCCTGTAATCCTAGCACTCTGAGGCAGGAGGATCTCAAATTTGACTCCAGCCTGGGGAGGGGTAGGGGATGTAGTTCGGCATGAAGGCCCGAGGTTCACTCTCCAGTACTAAAAAATAAAATGCAAATTTAGTAAAATCAAGATGCTACCTCTGTGGAGCACTTGATCCAGTTTCAGGTTGGGCCCAGAATTCGGTGACATGCCCCGCGATTTCTCAAGATTGGCGTATCTTCAATGCTGCGCTCCTAACATCCCAGCCGGTGGCGTCTTGGGCACAGTGCTCTTCTCACCAGGTTGAGTCTCTCAGGCCCAGGGAAGCCAGGTTTCAGCCTCTGAGGGAGTACTGAGGTCTTGTGGGTTAGGGATCTCTACACCCAAATCTTGTAGCATTTTTTGCTGTGGCTTCTAGAATTTCAAGTCAAAATTAGCAGACATTTTATTCTCAGCTTTAAAGTACTAATATGTACATATCATGCAACCTTTTAAGGAAAAACTCTATTGCTTACACAATGTTTTCTGTTCTCTTTGCAGAAGAAGTAAAAAAACTTTGTGCCACGCAGTTCAATAACATCTTCTTCTTGGATTGACTGACAATGGCTCACAGAAAACGTCTTTTAAAAAACTCAGTGAACATTTTGTTTACCATTGCAAGTTATTGGTCATATTATTGACTGGATTACTGACAATAGTAAAGCAATACTTGCTTTGAAGAAACAAATTTCTACTTAGTCTGATGATCTCTTAAGATTTTTAGATTTTAAATATTTATGTGGAATTGATTAAAGATAGTCGGCTATATATCATTTCATTCTTTTGACATGTGAATATTTTACTGGAAAATAAGACTAATAAATTCTTAAAAAGTTTTTAAAATTCTGGTTTTGCAGTGAATCTCTCTTTGTTGCTGATTTATAGTCTACATTGGCTTCTGGGTTCCTGGCTTGTGCTCTGGGGATTTCAAAATTTGGTCAGTGGGGCTGGGGTGATAGTGACACAATGCCTGCCTGGCAAGTGCAAGGTCCTGAGTTCAGGTCCCGGTACGTAGCGGAGGTCCTTTCCTCAATGGCCCAAATAATTGCTACACTTTTATCTTCAGTGCTCTATGGGACTTTCAGACCACATCTACTACAGAGATCTCTACCCAGTGTTGAAACAGGAAGGTTCCTTATTGTCACAGGGACCCCTGAGGTGCCACAGTGCCGCATGCCTCCTCACAGCAGGGATGAATTCTGGCTGAATTTTACTTAACCTGGATTTTGGTGTGGGTGAAAAAGTGACTGCACAGTCCCTTTCACCTGTCTACGTGAACTCTATGTTAGGAGCAGCTTCATCCGTTTGTAGTAGTTTTGCTGGTCCTACATAACTTCAAATTTCTGTTATGATTTCCTCTGTTCCTTAGGATCACAGTTTTTGTTTATTGGTTTTGGTTTTGGTCCTGGGAATTGAACCCAGAGCCTTCACACTTGAGCTATATCTCAAGCCCTTTTATAATTTTTGAGATTGGGTCTTACTAAATGTCTGACTTGTCCAATTCCAGCTTGAACTTGTGATCCTCCTGTCTCAGCTTCCCAAGGTGGTAGGATCATAGCTATATGCCACCACACCAGGTTAAGGCTGCAGTTTTGAGTTTCTACTCATCTTGAGCTTTGTTAATTGTGTGCATTTTCTGCAGTCTCAGCTACTGCCTTGGCCTGAGATTATGGTCCATGTGTAGTATTTACAAGTGAACTTTTTGACCAAAAAATGTGTTTTTGTCAGTGTTTATTCCCTGTTGCATTCTGGTTCCCAGCTATGTACTCATAATTGGTGGTTATAGACAGAGAAGGCAAAGGCATCTTAAGAAACGTTAAAATAGCTTTCTCCATGCTGCGCGGCCTCTGACCTGTTTTATCAGATTGCAAATTTAACCATCACTACTTCACTTTGGTTTTTAAAAACATTTAATGCACAACCATTAATGTGCATATGTGTATGTGCTCATATGAGTTTTCACAGTGCAGGCCTTTTGCAAGCGGTTGTGTGAGACACCAGGATGCCACACACCAAGACAGGGGCATTGCTCGGACCAGGAGGAGCAGAGGTAAAATTCAGTTTTCTCACGGGTCTAGGCTTCTAGGCTTGCAATCCTCGCAGCCAGCCTGCAGCACTGGGTGCCTTTACTTCTTCTTCTTCTTGCTCGGAGAGGACTTGGCAGCCTGGGACACAGCCGTGTCTTCTCTGGGAGAGTTGGGAGTGAGAGGTGGGAAGGAGGGCGGGAAGTCCATCGACTCTTTGATGATGGTGATGTCATTCTCCAGGTCTTGTCTCTTGGCCTCTTCCTCTCATAAGATGCTGAGCCTAAGGGGAGAAATGAGAAGTTAGCTCTTCTTTTTTTGTGTGAAATCATAAAACTAGCTTTAAGCTGGTAAGTGAAGTCATCCCCTCCTGTGTTTCAGCTGTGCTTGTGAGCAAAACAATCACGCTCACTACCTGAATTTAGTGAATGAAGCCTTCTGTTGAAAGCCTAGACCCAGGCTTTGTATATCGAATGTGATCCATGTAGCATGCTATGGCCTTGTAAAAAGCCTCTGGAATAATAGCCCTGTGCTACAGAGCCATACTTTCTGCACGTGGCCAAGGGAGGCTGAGGCAGGAAAATGGAAAGTTTAAACCCAGCCTGGGCAACTTAGTGACTTAGACCCTATCTCAAAATAAAAAGGGCTGGGAAGTAGCTCAATGTGAAGGCCCTGAGTTCAGTCCCCATTTCAAAAAACAAAACCCCAGCCCAATGAAAAGATACAAAGGGTAAGGTCCATAGAGTCCAGCATAGGGGACTGTGTGCTTCAGAGTTTGGGATGCTGCCCACATCAAGAGGATGTGTTCACCAACCTAGGAACGCTCCAGCCCGTGTTCATGTGGAGGTTCCATTGTAGGTGTGATTGTTGAGATCGCTGGCCACTAGTAATAAAACTTAGCCTGCAGCCCCCTTCCCGAGTGGTCAAGGAGGCAAAGTGCAAAGTTCCAACTCTCCAAGCACATAGTTGCACCCTTTGGCAGCCAGCCTTCTCCCACCCCTACCTGGTACAAATCGCGCTCAGAGCCCACTACCGCCTGTGTAAAGACACTTGTTTCCTCAGAGTCTCCAGGATAGGAGAAGCCCTGGTGTCTGGAACCAGGCGCTAGGATGCAGTATTAAAAGATGCTTCTATAACTCCAGAAGCTCTAAAGGCCCTGGACACTATGGTGGGAGCAGAACCTAGATAGTTACTGTTTTATTTGTTTCAAGGAATTATTTGTTTACAGGGCTGAGTTACATCCCAGCTCTTCTTTATTTTTTAAGACAGGGCCTTCCTAAGTCACTAAGTCATTGAGTCACTGAGGTGAGGCTCAAGCTTTCAGTCCTGCTTCAGCCTCCCAGAGCACTTGGATTATAGGTATACACCGCCATGTCGGGCTGGGCTTGTTTCTTGGGTCTCAGACACTGTATGAGGTCCTGTTATGGTTTGTGTCTAGTTGTCCCTGCAAAGCCTCACACAGTCATGGGTGGTTTCTGGAGTTTGTGACTGATTTTGTGGGTGGGTGCTGCACCTGCCCTGGGGCAGGTAATTTGCATTACAATGTAAGGAGAAGAGAAGCTAGCTAGCTACCTGGGCTGCCGCCACTCTTTGCTCTCTTGTTCTGCCACCGCCATGAAGGGCTGCTCTCTGCCAAGTGCCACTCTACCTTGGAGCCAGCTGAGTATGGACTGAAACCTCCAGTAACTGTGAGCTAAATAAATCTTGGGTGTTGGGTCCTGATGCTTCCAGTGGAAGTCGGATGAGCTAGCTGGGCACCTGCTGTGGAGGAGGGGCACCTGTACCTTGCTTCCAGCTCTTCGTTCTCTGCCTTCCTCTGCTGAGCCAGCGCTGACTCCCTCAAGTGGTCCTCCTTGACCTTCTCCTTGAGCATTTCCTGGTGCTTGTGGGCATGGAAGAGGGTGGTCACAAAGAAGATGTGCATCTTAGTGTCCCAAGTGGTGCACTTCTCCTTCTGGTCCTCCTTGGACTTTTCAGGTTTCTCTGAAATAGAGTGTTATCAGAATGAGCACGAATGTAGTCGGATTGTGCGTGAGGAGGCTGTTCTCAGAGCTTGGCACAGTTCAGCATGGTGGTCTGTGTCTCGAAGTGGGCTGCTCAGGGCCTGGGGCAGTGAGGACAGTGAGGGTCCTGCAGAACACACGGGCGGCCACTTGGGGGGAAGTGGGTGTGCAGTGGCCGTGACTGTGATGGTCAGTACTGCCATGGCACTGCCTCCTACCTGGCCTTATCTTTCTGCCTAAACAGTTTAAATATTTTGGTTTGAAGCTTTTCTTCTATGTACTGGGGGAAACCTCTCTTGGCTCTTGTTTACACTGTCTCTGGAAAGACTCCGAGCTGAATAAGAAGGTACGTGGATTCTGTCTCTGCCTGGGCTGCTCTGCTAAAAGAGGTGGGACTGGGTGCCATGGGAAGCCAGGATCTGCACGGACCCCTACGCTCTGCCTTCTGCTGCGGGTGCCCATGTGATGGCCCCGAGTGAAGGAGGAGCAGGAGGAGCTGTGACGCCTGATACCATGGTGTTCAGAGCCTCAGCGAGACCTGCATGTGCGCCCCCACAGGGACCCCAGCAGGCTCAGGCTCTGGTGAGTGTAGTACATAGAGGTGCGGGTGACAAGTTGTGAAAACGCCTCCAGGAACGGGTACCCAAGGGTGCTGACGCGTGCTCTCCCTACAGACCTCAGCTGCATCTGCCTCGTGGGCCAGCTGTGCTACTCCCTAGCAAGCCTGGCAAGGCAGCTGCTCTTCCCAGTTTCTTCTGCAAATGGGAAGCCATGACCATGGCATCCTCAGAGAAGAGGCACGATCAACTTGGGTATCTATTATATATGAAGCCCTGTTCTTAGCACCGTGGGAAATACAGCAAGTGAAAATATCTGCCTTTCCTAGTGCAGTCAAAATGTCCTAGACATTCTGGTGTACATCCTATTAGCTTATTTCTGTACTGCTTTTTGGTGATACCAGGGATTGAACTCAGGACCTTGTGCTTGCCAGGCAAGCACTTATTCCACTGAGCTATCTCCCCAGCTCTGTACTGCTTTTTGGAAAGATTGAACCACTTTCTCATCCTATCTAATGCATGATTGAAAATACTTTTCTCTCATATCACTATTGTAACTACCATTAGCTATCTATCTGTCTGTCTGTCTATCTATCTATCTATCTATCTATCCATCCATCCATATATAATTTCCTAGTACTTTTTATTATAGAATTTCTCAGTGGCCGGCCAGATAGCTCAGTGGACTAAGCATCTGTTTAGGCAAGTGCAGGGACCAGGGTTCCATCCCCAGCACCACATGCAGTGCCGGCCCCACCCCTGGGTGCACTGAGCCAGCCACCAAGTCTGGGTGTGGTGGTGCATGCCTATAATCCCAGTGCTAGGGAGGTTGAGAACAGGAAGATCACTATGAGTCTGAGCTGCGTAGTGAGACCCTGTGCCAAATTCTTTTTTTTAAAGAAAAAAAAAAGAATTTCTCTTGGCATTGCAGTTCTGGTCATTTTCCCAGGTTTACAGATACCCTATGAATATGTGTAAATTCTGTCTCTTCAGGTGATGAACATGTTCTCAAATCAGAGATTTTCATATTTGTCCTATGGCTTTAATGTCTTTTATGGGATCCTTACAGTGTTGAGACTTCTTTTTCATGTTTTTCATCTTTGTTACTTTCTCTTGAAACCATTTCTTTTCATTTTTGATTTGTGAGTGTTCCTTTTCAGTTTTTTGCCTCAACTGATATGAGAGATGCTGGGTAAAGTTTCATAGGCTATATGTAAGTTAGAAGCAGCCACTCATAAATAGTACATTTTCCAGTTAAACTACTCACCATTTTCAGGTAAAAAAACCAGCCCTTTCCCCAAAGGTTTAGAATTCATTTTGGAACTTCTGTCATCGCAGAGAGGCTTCTTGATCTGAGGCTTTCACATTTAAAAAATCATAAAGCAAAATATTACTTCTATATCATTATAGATTTAAAGTATTTTTACATTATAAATAATTAGAAAATAGAGGTCTTCCCTTTGAGCTAATTTAGCTGTTTTTAACCTGCATAGAATATTGAATCTACAGCCATACCACCCTGAACATGCCTGATCTCATCTGATCTCGGAAGCTAAGCAGGGTCGGGCCTGGTTAGTACTTGGATGGGAGAATATTGAGATTTATATTACTACAGAGGGAAATAAGCTTCTTCATCTACTGAGAGGCTCTGCCCTCCCCCCAAATAACCCCAAAGATTTAAAATCTTCCCCTGGGTCTGCTGGAAGGTCATTTATTATATGTAACAAACCAAATGTAGGTTCATACATTCCTGGTCCCATGATCATATGTATGCTGTAGCCCCTGCTGTCTCCAGCTGGAGCTCAGCCCTGACTGTCCCCACCCGGCCACTTCCTATCGCCACTGGATGACTACTCGGGCACCTCATACATGCCCAGAACCTGCCCTTAATTCTGCCCTCCAACCTCATCCTGTCCCTAGCCCTGTCTGTCCCCATCCTGGTCTATCTCTATCCTAGGAAGTAATAACTCTTTTGTTTTTTCTTAATGTATTTGTACAGGGTCTCACTATGCAGCTCGGATTCATTGAGCCTTCTGTTTTCAGCTTCCCCAGCGCTGGCATCACAGGCATGTACCACCACATCTGGTCTCATTGGCCAGCTCAGCACACCCAGGGGCGGTGCGGACACAGCATGTGGTGCTGGGGATTGAACACCGGTCCCGGTACTTGCCTAAGCATGTGCTTAGTCTGCTGAGCTATCTTGCCGGCCCAGAAGTAGCAACTCTGTTTCTCTGGTTGCTCAAAATCAACACTGCAGCCTCCCCTCTCCCTCTCATACCCCTTCTACCAATGCCCAAGTGGCCCTCAGGCCGCCTCTGTGCCACAGCCTCAGTCACCTCCAACCAAGATGGCTCTAAGAGTTTCCAGACCAGTGATTCACCAGCAAAGCCACAGATGCCACTGGCCTCCCGTGTGGCTCATACCCTTGAGGTCACTCCTGCCTCCTGAGTGTGAAGAGTCTGGATGTGCTAGCAGACACCATCCTGGGGTCGTGCTGCAGGTGCCGACACCCAGCTCCAATACTGGCTATGTGACCCTGGCCCTCCAGAGCTCACAGGGCATACAGTGAGCTGCCCCTGGCCTGGCTGCTGGCAAAGCCCCACTAAATGTGAGCTGCTGCTGTTCCCTTGCTAGAGCCTCCTGGCCCTCAGCATGTGAAGTCCTCATGAGGCAGGATTCTCGACTGCTGGCCCCACAGCTATACAAGAGCACTCACTTCTTTCTTGTATTTTTGTTTTGTTTTTTAATGACACTTGGGGACTAAACCTGGACCCTTCCCATTGAGCTACATCCCCAGCAACCCCCCTTTTTTAATCTCCAGTCTTTCTTTATTTTGAGACAGGATCTCAATAAATTACTCAAGCCAGGCTCGAACTTGGCAGCCCTCCTGCTTCAGCCCCCCAGAGTCCTGGCAGCACCAACCTGCACCATCATGCCTGGCCCAAGAGCTCTCTTGGCATGACAGTTATATGCTAGCGCTCACAACTGTGCCGTGTAATTGACAAGCTGTCAATACAAACCTCAGATTTCCTTGTTTTAAAGTCAGACATGAGTCCTAACTTGCTTGAAGAAGACTGGGCACAGGTGAAGTGAATGATGTCCGATTCCTGGCTTCTGGCCACACTTGGACTCCTGTTCTGGGTGCTCTGAGTGAGGACAAGCACAGAGAGTGAGCCTGGCTTCCACAGAGGTCAGTGCGTGGCTCTCTCCACAGATACATGTGTCTTTAATGAGGCACAATTGATGCGCAATACTCTACACAGGAAGCGTTATCGTTCCGTGACTCCAGATGCGTCTACACTTGTGAAATCATTACCTCAGTCAAGACAGTGAACGTAGCCAGGCTTGCCAGCATATGCTTATAATCCCAGCACTTGGGGAGGCTGAGGCTGGAGGACCTCAAGTTTGAACCCAGGCCCGGCAACTTATTGAGACCCTGTCTCAAAAAACAAAAGGGTTTGGGATGTCCAAAGGCCCTAAGTTCAGTCCTCAGTACCACACACACACACACACACACACACACACACACACTCAGTAAACCCACCTTCCCTGCCTCATGATCAGGTAAGCCCTGATTTGCTTTCCTTCCATACATGTTCCTCTAGTTTCCACACACACACACACACACTCAGTAAACCCACCTTCCCTGCCTCATGATCAGGTAAGCCCTGATTTGCTTTCCTTCCATACATGTTCCTCTAGTTTCCAGGATTTGATATGCACTACGTACCCTTTCTTGCCTCAATTCTTTTACCCGGCATGGCTGTTTTTAGATTCACCCATCCTTGCTTACTGAGCTGTCCTCCACTGTACAATATAATACAGTCTCCTCAGCTTGGTTCCTATGTGCAGACTGACTTCTAGATTTGTGTTATGGCCCAAGATAGGGTCTATCATGGTAAATATTTTATGTATACTGGAAAATAGTGAGGATTCCACAGTTGGCACTTAGATAAGCAAGCTTCATAGTGTTAGTTACATGTGATGTCCACTGATCCTCCATCTACCTGCTCTGCTCATTATGGAGAACAGGACTGAAACTCTTAACTATGGATTTGCCTATTTTTAATCAGTTTCCACACTTACTTTGAAGCTTACCCGCTTAGATGTGTGTCCTTTTACTTAACTGAGCACTTAGTCACCATAAATGACAGCCTGTCTCTGTAATATCCTTTACTTTGAGACCACTGTTGCCTAATATTGATGGTGTGTGGCGTATCACTTTCTATACTTTTTTCACCTTTTTTTTGCCTTCATATTTGAAATGAGTTCATTGTAAGCATTTTACACATTTTTCTTTTTTAAAAAGTCAGATAACCTATGCTTTATTTGGGATGTGTGCATCATTTCCATTTCAAGTCTTTGGGCTGTTCTCATCCTTCTTCATGTTATAAACCTCATGAACACTGTTATCCTTACATTAAACAGTCAGCTACCATTCAAAGATTTTTTAAAAATTTTAAGTCAGTCATGATAGTGGACATCTATAATTCCAGCACTCTAGGAGACTGAGGCAGGAGGATTGTAGGTCTGAGTTCAGTTGGGGCAACTTAGAAACCTGGTGAGACCCCATAGTGGGACTCAGCAGTCAGTCTGCACACAGCCCACCAAGCTGAGGAGATCATATCATATGCATACAGGGGAGAATGGCCCAGTAAGAAAATCACCCATGACTCCAGCATGGCACATGGGTGAATCTAAAAACAGTTATGCTGGGTGAAAGAATCGAGGCAAGAAAGGGGACACAGTGCATGGTCACAGTTTTATAAAATCATGAAACTGCAGAGGAATGTGTACTGATGGAAAACAAAAGGTAAAACAAAAAAAGATGGGGATGCAGTTCGAATGATGGCCCAGTACCACAAACAAATTTAATTTTATCCACAGAGTTACTATCCTGTGCTCCTCTTTCCTTTCAATGGATCTAGATTTCCATCCTGTGACATTGCATCTTGCTCAAAGGGCTTCTTTACTATTCCTTATTGTGGCTTGTCATCTGATAATGAATTCTTTCAGCTTTTGAATGTGTGGGAATTCTTTAGGTTTTTTTCATCTTCAGGTTTATTTATCTTTTTTAAAAAATTTTATTTATTTGTGTGTGTGTGTGTGTGTGGCCAGCTCAGCCCACCAGGGGGCAGGGCTGGCTGGCATGCAGTGCTGGGGGATTGAACTGCGGTCCCTGTGCTTTGCTAAGCTTGTTCTAAGTAGGTGCCTTAGACCACTGAGCCATCTCACCAGCCCCTATTTATCTATTTTTTAAGACAAGTTCTCACTATCCAGTTCTGGCTGGCCTTTAGCTCACTCTGGAGCCCAAGTGGTCTTGGACTTACAGCAATCTCCCTGCCTCAGCCTGCTGAGTGCTGGAATTACAGGCGTGCACTACCACATCTGACTTCTTTGCTTTTCTGAGTGTGAATGTCGTACTGTGATTAAGCCCATGGAGAGCTGAGTTACATACATCTCCAGTGCTTTCTTTCCCCAGCCTTCAAATCTGGTTACTCCATTTTTAATTTTTATTCTTATTAGTACATGTTTACAGTACATAACTTGGCTCCTTATTTTATTTTGAGACAGGATCTTACTAAATTACCCAGGCTGGCCTTGAACCTTGATCCTCCTGCCTTGGCCAGGATGTAGCAGGGATTACAGGTATGCACCTGTCTGCATGCCTCGCTTTTCATTTTTTTACACTGTGGCACAATATACATAAAAATTTACCATCTTCATCATATTTAGTCACACGGTTCGGTGGCAGCGAGGACATTCTTAGTTGTGTGACCGCCGGCTGTTCCAAGAATGCCTGGCCACTAGAGAGACTCTGGAGAGGAAAGAGCCACCGAGCTGAGAATATTTGGTTTTTCTTCAGAATATCAGTGGAAGAGAAAAGCAGCAGGAGAAAAGCAGCGTGGGCCCGGGGCTGTCTCAAGGCTGCGCAGCTCCCTTGGGAAAAGGGGCAGGCCTGTGGCCAGGTGCAACACGCTCCACTAATCTAAGCTTCTTGTTTAACCACTTGATTCTCCAACAGCCTGTGTGCTCTTGCCCCACAGTTCAATTATTTACTTCTAGGGCTGCAGACTTTCGCCTCATGGTTTAATTATTTGTGTGCTTTTGTTCCACCGTTTAACCATTTGTTCCTGGCCAAGTCCCCTACAGCCATTGGCATCCATCTGCAGAACGCTTTTCGTCTTGCTGAACTGAAACTCAATTAAACAGCAACTGTGTGTATGCCACATTTTGCATATTCTGTGCACTTGTAGAGACTTCGGTGATGCTTCCATCTTTTGGCTATTGTCAATGCTGCTGCTAAGACCATGGCAATATAAATTACCCTTCAAGACCCTACTTTCAATTCTTTTGGGTGTACAGTGGCACCTAGTTTCATGAACTTAATTTGTTCTGATTCTAGAAAATATGGCCACAGTCATGTTCATCACCTGATGAAGAATCCACAAACAAAAACACAGTTTTGCCAAACACTTCTGTTTGCAAACCATGCTGTTCACAAACAAAAGCATCCTTGAACTGGGTCGCTACTACATAGCTCAAAGCAGAACTGCTGTTTGCATCAGTCATTTTTCTATCACTGAGACAAAATCCTGGACGCCTGCCACATAAAGGACAGATTTATTTTGGCTCTGGTTTGAGAAGACTCAGTCAGCTGGCTCCACAGCAGAAATGGTGCGACAATGGCAGGGCAGGGGAAAGCCGCTCACCCTCGGCAGCCAGAAGCAAGAGAGAAGGGGGCAGCTGGAGACGGCACAGCCTTGCAGCTCTGGGCGTACTGATCACCTCTGACCAGGCCCCACCCCCCATGGCACACGCTGAACTCATCAATGAATGGATCTACTGATGAGTATAGTGCCCCTGCGCTCCGGGGGCATTTTAGATCTAAACCAGATCGCTATCATCCATCAAGCCTAAACCATTTTACAGCCCCTACAACTGTGCACAAAGTTTGCAGTTTCCCTTCCCCCTCACCAACATGCATCATTCTGTTGGTCTCACCAGCCCTGTTAACAGAAGAGACAGTCTTGCTGGGCTTTTGATTTGTGTTTCCTAGTGACTGGGGATGCTGAGCATCTTACCGTGTGCTCATAGGCCATTTGTGTGCTTTCTTTGGAGAAGCGTATATTTAGGATGTCTGCCCATTTTTAATTGGGCTGGTTTGCTGTTGAGTTTCAGGAGTGCTGTGTGTGTTCTGGGCCTTAATCTTTATTAGATACATGGTGCCCTACACCTTCAGCTGACAGTGCCGTGTGATGCACAGGAGTTTTTTACTGTAGACCACTTATAAGTTAATTTTGGTTTTTGTAAAGTAGTCCATCTGATAGTGTCCTTTCAACCTGCTGGACTCCCTTTATGATCTCAGCAGGAGAGGCCTAGTGGGAATTCATGTCCTACTTTCTGTGTGTTGTAGTTTGGGATTTTTGCTAGGGGAACAGTACAATACAGGGCACATTTTATAAGATTGTTTTATAATGAATCACCCAAAGAGTCATATACAAAGAATGCAGGAAGTCTAGCCATACACTGAAGACCAAAGAATCTAGGTGAAGGCCTGATCCCAGGAAAATGTTCTGCACGAGTCCAGCTGAAGACCGAGAGCCCATAACACCACCTCCCATGAGTCCAGCTGGAGGCCTAGAGCCCACAACAATGTCTCATGCAGGCCTGTTTCGTGGATCTGTGCTGGGAAGGCCCAAGGGTTAGTGGTGGAAGCTAGAAAGTCTGTACAAGTGGGATGAAGGATCCACGCTAGCAGGCTGAGGTAGCTACCTGAACTGGAGCCAGGAAGCAATGCTCAAGGTAAGAATCAGAGCTCCCTCAAAAAAATACCAGAGCCAGTGCCAGGGGGACAGCTCAACGGTCTGAGTGCCTGCCTGGCAAGCACAAGGACCTGGGTTCAATCCGAGGTACTGCATGCCATGCAGGCCCTGGTGCCATGTTGGCCCCTGCACCATGCTGACCACTGAAACTGGGTATGGCAGTGCACACCTGTAATCCCAGTGCTGGGGAGGCTGAAACAGGAGGATCACTATGAGTCTGAGCTGTGTAGTGAGACCCTATACAAAATATATAAATAAATAAAAGATTAAATTAAACAAAAGTACCACATCCATCCTCAGCAACAGTGCGGTCCTGAGCT